GTTAAAGGAGGTCCAGTTTTACACCAAGAGATATTACATCATGAAAGTCAGCTAGTGCCTCTCTATAAGGCTGTGACGGCAACAGGCGAGTTACATTTCCTCCGCGCAGCCTAGCCTTCTCCCTCCCTCTTCTTTCCCCTTTCTTTATACACTTTTAGTCTTATAATACATATACATAACCACCATATGTGCAAGAGGTGTGACAAACGACCTTACCATTTCCACTGTCCACAGCCAGTCTGGTGCTAAGTGAAAGTATCAGAAGCAAAGAAGCAAGGTGACGATCTCGAAGCGGATCGTTCAAAGATTTAATTGCCTCTACTAGTCGAATGCCCTCGCTATCCAGATTGGTCCTACTATAAAATAGAAGTTTCACAAAAGTAACGCAAAATCAAGATCCAAAAATCATATGAAAATGGGAAAAAGACCTGTACGAAACCATGATAATGTATGGCAAAGATACGGCAAAGCAAGAAATTTGGCCGTCCACTTTCTGCTCGAACGTCCTCTTCAAATTATCCCACGCTTTCTGGAATGGCCGCCGAGCCAATAGGGCAAGTAAGAAAAGCCTCAAAGCAAGTTCCATAACATAATTGATCTTTTGAGGATACTTTGCCGGCCCTGTCTTGGGATTTCACATTTTTAACGGCGAGGAAGCTCACCTCACAGAGTTAAGCGGTGTTTCGTTAATGGCAAGCTGATTAAATGCCTGTCCTACATCAGCATCCATCTCAACAGCTCTCCGGTAATATAAGGTTGACAAGGATGACTGGTCAGGATTAGTGAGATACCTATAAGTGACCATAAATAAAAGAAAAGAAAATGTTATTTTCAAATATTTTACAAAGCTCAGCAAAACAAGGTCTTCTTTCGGCATTGTATAATTCTAAAAGTCATAGGAAATAAAATGAACTAGATTATATCGACACAGTCAAAATTTTGAAAAAGAAACTTGAGCATTCTAACGTCTATCGTAAATGCCCAAGCCTATCTTGGGTTTACTTCAAATATTTCCTTACCAAAAGTGTCTTCTTTTGCCACTCACATCCTCAAAATAACTATTTTTGCCCAATCCTTCAAAAATCTACTAAAGACAGTCTAGGGTATTGTAAGTTAGTGCATGCGTAGATAAATTTGAAAGGCTCGACGGTTGCGAATGCGTACAAGGACGGTTCAGAAGTGAACTCACTCAATCAAGTGACGCAAATTGTTCTGAAGACATGTTCATTTGTTATTGCGCAATCAAGGGTCGTTGATGACAGTCACAAGATCGGGAAAGTGGAGGAGAGGAAGGGGGGGGAATAAAAGAAGAAAAGAGGAGAAAGTCGAGAGGTCAGACTATGCAATCGCCCAAGAAGCGGGATGAGAAGGGAAA